CCCCCCCCCCCACAAAAAAAAAATAAAATAAAATCTGATTTTGCCACTTTTTTCCTGAGTCAGCTTAATTAAAAAAAAATTCTCCTGAAAAATTTTACTGAGCCTGCAACATTAAAAAACAAAAAACACTTTTCCCCAGTAAGATTGCCATTCAAAAATATATTTTCATGAAAATACAGCGGAACCTCAAGTTACAAACTTGTTTCCCTGAGCCCATATATAACCTGAAACATTCATAATCTTACAAGCAAATAAAGTCATCTTTTGATGATAAAATATCAATACATAATTGTTCTTTTAAAAAAGTATAACATTTTTGTGTTTTTTGCTGAGAAAAAGTATTATTTATTTTGAGGTTGTAATTTTTTTTCTGAGGAAAAAAAATCCTGTAATCTGCTTTTTTCATTTTACAGGATTTATTTGTCGGGAAAAAAAATATTATCTCACTTGTGAAGTCACCAAAAACTGAAGGTTGGATTTTTTTCAGTGTAAAAAACTTGCTACTCAGAGTGAGAGGGAAAAAAAAATATATATTTTTTGTGGGGACAATTTTCTGAGAAGTCACATTTCTTTCATCAAAAACTACTTTTTGCTTCTTTTATTATTCTTTTTTTTTTAAATTTGACTGAATGTGTTGAGCGTGTGCGTCGATGTTATTCAAGCAGACCCGGTAGAGACGGACCCCACTTGCGGCCCCGTGGCGTCTCGCTCCGCTAAGATAAGAGCAAAGGTGACCAAGGTGATGTTTGGCACGGTGCCTCGGTCCTGGCGCACCCTTCCACCACTACGCACCCCCCCCGCCCCCGCCCGACTCTCCCTCCATCTCCACCCCTCCCGTTGCTAAGCTCCTTTGTTTGTGTGCTGCTCTCTCTCCATTGGCATGAGTAGTGCAGATCAGGTTACATGTGGGAATGAGATGGAGCGTTAGCTCAGCGCTTCCTTTGTCCCCCCCCAGCTGGGAATCTCGACGCTTTTACGTAAAATCCAATCACGGACCACTTGAGCAACTTTGGAGTTCACACACACACACACACACACACACACACACACACACACACACACACGCACAATGTACAGTATATTCACCATTGATATTATTTGCTGTATTTATGCCTCACTTTCATTCGTTACAAGAATAAATTTCTTCCTGGAAAATTTTTCTGAAGATCCTCTTTAAAATATGACTTTACGGTTGGAAGACTTTAGCCAAATTATAATCCTGTAAGAATTTTTTTTAAAACAAAAAAATTGAATTTTTTTTTTAAACAAAAAAAATTCTGTTTTTTCAAACTAAAAGCCTTTCTTTGAGGGGAAAAAAATGTAATAATTGCACTTGCAAAAAGTCATTACCGGTACATGTTCCCGTTTGTGGTTTACTGCACTCGTGTACTATCCAGGAAGTCAAGGATAAGCAAATGGTATTCACGCGATGCACAGAATGTATGTCTGAGTGTGTGCATGTGTGCATCTATGTCAGGGGTCACCAACCTTTTTTGAAATTGCGGACTACGTCTTGGCTACTGATGAATGCAATAAGGCGACTTACTGTTTGAAGTAACACATTTCCTCAAGTTATATTTACTGTGATCGTGGTTTTATTAATAATTAATTATATTCACTTGTGGGTGTCCCGGTGATCGACTGGTTAGCGTGTGCGCCTCATAGTGCAGAGGTGCAGGGTTCGATTTCGGCTCTGGCCTTCCTGTGTAGAGTTTGCATGTTCTCCCCGTGCCTGCGTGGGTTTTCTCCGGGTACTCCGGTTTCCTCCCACATTCCAAAAACATGCATGGCAGGTTAATGGAACACTATAAATTGTCCCTGGGTGTGAGTGTGTGCGTGGATGGGTGTTCGTCTCTGTGTGTACTGCGATTGGCTGGCAACCGGTTCAGGGTGTCCCCCGCCTACTGCCCGAGGACAGCTGGGAAATGTTTCGACATGCCCCGCGACCCTTGTGAGGATAAGCGGATCAGAAAATGGATGGATGGAGATTCACTTCTGGGCGGTTGACTGGTTTGCACATCGGCCTCACAGTTCAGAGGTCCAGGGTTTGACTCCGGACTCTGCCATGAGGTCCTTGGGGGACTAGCTGGTGGTGGTTGGTGACTGACCCCTCATCTAGTGGAGATGAGTGTATTTTCTGGAATCTTTACGGGACACGTTTGCCACGAATTCTTTTCAATTCAAACCCCAATTTATGCTTCAGCTTTACAGATACCACAAATGCTGCACGGGCAGCGTGTTATTTGCCATTCATCCGCCGACATGTCGTCCACTCAATTAATCCATTAGGCAAGTGGTTTACGCCAAAACAGCCATGAGTGATGCTCTCGTTTCCATGGCGATTCCCCCCACCCCCTCCCTCGGTTTTCCCGTTTCTCTGCATTCCCCGGAACGCTTCCTTTTCTATTCAGCCCGCCGCTATACATTAAAATTCCCTGCCAGTGAGCCGCGGCCCAAGTTGAAAAGTTCAAATGAAGAAAAACAAACTCAAAGAAACTCTCCAAGTTAATGGAGCCGATGCGATGTGTTTGGTCTTCTCCGCAGGTCCGAACGCTCTTTGTCAGCGGGCTGCCACTGGACATCAAGCCACGGGAGCTCTATCTTCTCTTCAGACCATTTAAGGTGTGTTTGGATGTTTCCAGTGCACGGATGAGCAAGGGCTATTCTTAGCGGCTGTTCTTTCCACCCGTCAATCGTAGCGGCCATTAACAGTGATGAAATAAACGGCAACGGAAAGTCGCCCAAGGTTCAAGTGTCTGACTTTGGAGAGGCGAGGTTCAATCGTGGCTGACGATTCGCACCAATTTTTTTAATCCTGATATTATCGTCTTCTTCCTTCCAGGGCTATGAAGGTTCCTTGATAAAGCTCACCTCCAAACAGGTAGGCTCGGAATTATAATGCGGTGATGACAATTCGAATGTGGTGCCATCCATTCATCCGTCTCGTGGACACGGTTCAAATTTGGGAGCAGTCGAAGAAAATTTGTGGGATGAGTTGGTCTCTGAAGGACTGCTAAAATCAAATGTCCAAAATGAACATAAAATGGCTTCTTCATTTCAAAATGCCTTTTCAGGCATGGCTTCTAGAGACTTTTTTTGGTGGGTCCACTTATGGTAGACTGCCAAATTTTATGTCCCTAAATTAACGTGGCTTCAAGAGCAGCCTTTTTAAATTCATCTCAGTCGATTTTTGTGTCGTATGATGAGTCATCCAACTTCGCCGCCAAGACACTGCCGTGGAAACAGGAGTTCAGAACATTCACTAGCCAATAAGACAACACAAAATCATTATGCCCAAAATTGACCACATCATGGCCGTGGCCATAAATTTTTTTAATGTTGTACGCACAATGTGGAAGAGAGAAAAAAAAAGTTATGGAAAAAAATCATAGTTGTAAAACGAAAAAAATGAAAAAATTGACCGAGCAAGATGTCCTCAAGCAAGTAATGACATCTAGCCTACAAAAAAAAAGAAAAAAAAGTCTCGGTTGTGTATTTTTACTATCTCGCTATTTCCTATTTTAAGCCAAACTTAAGTTGTCACACCTTGTCAAGGTTTTGAAGCAAAAGTCCTTGAAGCAAGTGAAATCCTCTTGCGCTTAAACGGCCCGCTAAGACAAAAAAATGTCTTGGCAGATGGAGCAAGTGTACTTTATACCTTGATTTGAGATATTTTTCATCTGGGTTAGATTGGAGTTTTTGGGGCATAATTTAAGAAAAGACAAGTGGGATGAAAGGCTTTCCGTAGCCATGCCGCCAATGGGGAGTCATTTCCTTATAAAGCAAGAGGCCCATCTCAGGCCCTTTCTATTTATATGTTCCTGTTTTGCTTTTTCTCTCTCTCCCTGTCTCTCTCTCTCTCCCCCCCTCTGTTTTTCAAGTCCTCCCCCCTTGTTCAGAATTCCCATAACCCCTGTTTTTCCAGATCACTTACAACAGATCAACCCCACGGGATATTTTCATTTCCCTCCATACCCGTCGAATAATAACAACCCCATTTGTTGTCTCTTTCTTCCTTGTGCTCTTCTTTGCTGCTTAGCCAAGATGCAAAAATCGATTTTCAACCTTTTTGTTTTTGTTTTTGTTTTTTTGTGGCCACACTTTTTCATCTCGGTCTTGTCTCTCACATCGCTTCCATATTTGGGCAAAGGAGGGGAACGGAGGGATGAGATCTGCAATGCTCTTAAGATTCATAAACAGCCTTGAGCGCCGAAGTGAAGAATATGACTAAACGGGATGGGGTGTGGGGAGGGGGGAGTGTTCATAATAATTGTTGTTTTTGTGCTTAGTCCATAAGAGGAAATACAATGTTCATGGCATTTTTAAATAAAAAAAGCCTTTGCCTCGGAAGCCGAAGAGCCACTCTTTTCCCTCAGTTTCATAAACAGACTACGACACTGAAGGGAATACAACCAAACAGGGTGGGGGTTGAATGTTTTTTTTTTCCCTTACAAGGAACATGTCTATGCCACTCAGACAGGACTGCCGAGTCAGTTTTTTTTTTTTTTTGCCCTAAACCGTGTTTCTTTCCTCCCCAGCCGGTGGGCTTTGTCAGCTTTGACAGTCGATCAGAGGCGGAGGCTGCTAAGAATGCCTTGAACGTAAGTGTCACGCCCTCTCCGCCAGCATCCCATCACACGCAGAGTGCATCCAAGACAAAAAGCATCTGCGTCTCTGCGTGTTTACCGCCAGCGAAAGCGTGGGGGGGGCAAGGTCAGACACCTAAGCAAGCGCTCGTTCCACACGTAAATACAAGATATTGATCTCTGGCTTACTTCGCAGCTCGTTATTTCACAATTGAGCTAACGGCCTTGATGAGAGGCTTTCCAGGAGAGCTTTAAAAAAAAAACCCAAAAAAAACAATCGTCTTCTCGCACACATTTTGTACGCCAGCCCAAATTTCTCACAGGACTCTTTCCAAATCTGCCTTAATAAGATAATCGTGCTCTGACTATGTTCGAAAGATATTTCTTGAAACAATCATTCATTGTGAAAACTGATTTCTCTCCTGTCTTGTTTTCTCATGATTAAAAAAAAAAATGTTTTAACACTCGTGACAATTAAGTATGCTAGAGCAGGGGCCCCCAACCTTTTTTGCCCCACGGACCGGTTTATGTCAGACAATATTTTCAGGGACCGGCATTTAAGGTGTGGTGGAAATAATACAACAAAATAATATGGTATGAGCTACATGAAAACTGTGGTGTTTTCGAAATATAATAATAAACACAAGGAGCGTCTAATCTGGCCGCAACACTCTCCAATCTACTTCGTAATTTTGTTTTCGTCGCCGTTGCTGCAGAAACCCCCCGCCTCACACAGGTAGGATGTCGGAAATAGCAACAGTGCTATTGTGGCGATCTCAGAGTATTCAGCCATAACTTTAATCCAGTTGTCTCGAACGTACTTTTAAGGCCGCCGTCATTTGCGATCTCCAGCAGTTTTTTTACTCATTTTGCTAGCTCCTGTGTTTGTTTTGAAGTAATCGGTCACGTGACGGAGAAGCGTGGCTTGATGTGTGTCAAGTGTGACACAGACGGATGTAACGGAGAATCCGGTAGTTTTTCAAAATAAAACATCTTTCGTTTTCCGAAATAAATAAAACGGAATTAAGGCAAGTTCTTTCTGTGCGGCCCGGTACCAAATGCCCGGCGGACCGGTACCGGTCCGCGGACCGGCGGTTGGGGACCCCTGTGCTAGAGGAGATGAGGACGCAACTCAACTCCAAGCTAAACTACAAACTTTACAATTAATTAATTACTACCAATGAAGCCACACAAAATTAACGAAGCCTTCCTTTCATGTTTTGACCAGGTCCACTGTCATTTTTTTATGTTTTGTCCGTAAAAGTTACTTTTTGAATACTCATGCTAAAGTGAAGTGGGATGAGAAAAGTGCCCTTTCCCATCGCGTCTTTGTGATTTGTGATTTCCGGTGGTTGCGTGACCTCATAAAAGCCAAAGAAAAAGCAAAGCAAACAATTAATGCCAGGCTAAGGTATGACATTAGCGCTGATGTTGAAGTCTTGCGATTACAGCTGTTTTTTTTTTTTTTAAAAAGCCTATTTGTTAGATTTTGGGAGGGTCCTGCTGTACTTCCTTTTAACTGCACCTCCTGATGTTTCCGGAATGTTGCTCGTTCGGAATAATGACGCCAAACAAACTCGTCCGTATTTCAGTATGCACATACCGACCCGCGGGATGCACACAAACAGTCTCAACTATTGTTTACTCAGAAAAAGATTTACATATTTTCCTCCCTTTTTGACGCACACCAGGCATCAAAAAGCTGCCATGCTCCCACATGAGGAGGATTCTGAGCTGTCACACTAGTGTGAAAAAAGCAAAACAAAATAGTGAGTAAACTATTTCAGGAAAAAGATATACAAAAAAAAAAAAAGATTAAACACTTGCTTTGAACATTAAATCTGAACTACCAATGTGAGTCGCAAGATTTCACATTGATTTTTAGCAACCCAATGTCCGACAAGCGTAAAAAAAGGTAACTAGTAGTTGTAAAATGCAAAAGAAATATACACCCAGCTGTAGAATTAGATCCTACTCTGTAGCGGTCTCGCATGAGTGTAAGCAATAAAGTGAACTATTGCTGAAGTTGCTAAACAAGCTGAAAAAGGCTCAAAGAAGACCATGTGAATGACATCATGCGGCACGCCGGACACATCACGTTCCAGTTTTCAGTTGTGAGCCATCATCACGTTTGGCGAAACGAAATACCACGCTAATCCGCAACTGAGCCATTTATAACTGATGCCCCCCCCCCCACCCCACCCCCAACCCAAGATTGCTTTCTCGCCTGTAAATTCTACCTTGTGAGTAACATAGAAGGATAAAAGATACATGAAAGCTCTTGTTGGACACCTGATCAACAAACCCAGCGTGCGAAAAATAGAAATGTCAAAGACCTCCACGAAAACTCGCGCCTCAGTTGTCTAAATTCGTTGTCGCTTCATCGCTACATGAAGGCGCTCACGTTTATTTATAAGCTAAGAAATGTAGATGGTGAAACAAAGTGTTCCTAAGGTCTCTGTGCTTCGAATGTGGAATATCTCACCGGCATTAAATCATGATTCACAAACTATTGAATTATTTTGCCTTCTACTTAATTATGTTGTTATTCTGTTTTTATGAAATGCAAAATCGTAGAGATACCTTTTATGTTTAAAAAAAAAAAAACACATGACAAAATTGTTCTTGTTTTTGGCAGTTGGAGTGGAGTGGTGAGAGGCTGGAACGGATTAATGGCATTTCCATTCATTTCAATGTGGAAACATGATTTGAGATGTAGAAAATGTTTACCAAAACAAACTCTTCTCCATTTTTTTGATCTAAGGGGGTCCGCTTTGATCCCGAGATCCCGCAGACCCTCCGGCTGGAATTTGCCAAGGCCAACACCAAGATGGCCAAGAACAAGCTGGTTGGCACCCCCAACCCTCCTTCATCCCAGCAGAGCCCCGGCCCACAGTTCATTAGCAGAGACCCGTGTGAGTACTGCAGTGGAACCGCTTCAGTTGACAACAATATGTTCCCCTTTTATTTTTCCCGTAGGAAATAAGGGAATGAATCAGTCCCAGGGTCCCGCTGTCGCCGTCGTAAAAACTTTATTAACTGTCCAGGCTTTTACAGTCACAGAGTGCAAAAATAATTGTAAATAGTATCATATAAAAGTGATTAAAAAAAAATCAAGGGACAAAAAAAGGCATTGTCATAGTGCAAGCTGGGCGTGACATGTCTTTTAGTTTCAAAATGTTAACTATTCCTCTGAAATTTTTTTTTTTTTTTTTTTTTTTTCAAAAAAGCAGTAAAACGTAAAAAAAAATGTGGACAAATCACGGAGGCACAGTGGAAAGATTAGTTAGAGGCGGCAAAGGACACGGTGCAATTTTTCACATTCTTTGTTGTCAAAGTGCACACAACGGTCAACTATTTTTTTTTGCCTATTTTTAAATCGGAGATGCAAATAAATTTTCAAGATGATTTTTTTTGCATTGTGTCAGAATCTGCCTTCAATTTTTTTCTCTAGTACATCAAGTTTTCAGCATAAAATAATAAGAATAAAAATATTGTCATATATTTAGTAATATTTATGAATTAAGAGTTATCAGCAACAGGTGGCATTGTTTTTTTTTCTGAAACGTCATAGCTATAAATTACAACGTATGTTAAAATACATGTTGCGCAAGGTATTATAACAATGAAATTATCTTGAAAAAACCCAATGTGCCCGAGTCAAAAAATTCAAGACATTTTTGAAATAAGCCTCAAAAATACATTAAGGGATGCAAAGTTATCTCAGATTTAAAATGTCTGTTGACCAGTGGAATAAGCCCCCCCCCCAAAAAATAACGTTTTCCCGGGCTTGACAGCAAAGTGGGCTTGACACATCACAATGTTAAAAAAAAAAAAAAATCAACAACCAAATAAATCAATCAATCATGCTGTCTTAACATTAACTACCAGTCGCGTAGCGGCATTCACAGAAATATTCACCACTGTTTGACAAAGTAAAACGTAAATAACAGTCAAACGAGTGAAGAAGTGTTTCACGCGGTTATGATTAACAACATTTTTCCCGGAAAATTTGAACTCTTTTTGCTGTATTTGAGTTGCGGGCGAACCAGGTGTGTTTGTAGTGCGATAGCCTCGAAAGTTCAACATTTCCCCCCCAGAAGCTTCCGGATTCCACAGTCATGCTGCAACCGCTCTTTGCCGCATTCTTCCCCCAATGAGCAAACAAACGCTCTTATCTGAAAAATGTGGTGCCAGAGAAAGGGTGTGGGTGTGTGTGTCTGTAGGGGGGGAAATAAGGGAGCCATTACTGACACGATGACGTCATCGCTCTCAGCGAAACGGCGACCATTTTGTGATAAGGTGTTGTTTGTTTCATTGTGCTCGCTTTGCAATCCAAGTGCTCTTTTCCTCGATTCCCGCTGTGCGCCGTCACCTCTCTTTTTCGCTCACCGGCTCGTTTTATGGACTCCTTTCAGTAATCGGACCGCCTCGCAGCATAATCACTTGGAAGCCAAGAGGCTAGTTGTCAATCAAACAAACCAGCAGTGATAGGGGAGCTAATTTTAGATTGACTTTTTTTTTTTTTTTCTTAAACTACTTATGTCACGTTTCAGCTGGTTTACTTTCTGCGGCATTGTACTTGGAAAGTACTGAGTTTGAAAATGTCTTTTTACACCATTGTAATGTTTCCATTTAAAGTCAAAGTGATCTTTCGACTTCTCTTTACACATTTGAAAACTACGAGGAAAAAATAGAGGTGATCGACATCAGTTTCATTTTTGGTTGAAAAAAAAGAAAGGCATGACTGTTTTGTTCTGTTTGCCTTTTAGGATGAGCACCACTTATATTTACACTTGTATGACAGCTTACAATGCTAATACGAAATAGCAGTTGTTTTGTCGCTTTTTTTGTCATGACAAAAAAAAAACAAAAAAACAAATCTAACACCATGGTGATTCATTAATTCATTGACTTATTTTTTTTAATGTTCAATAACTTGAAAAAATCTGCAAAGCGGCCAAGGTACAAAGTTAAGTCTGTTTCTTTTTTTTTTTTTTTTATTGTCAAATGTGTAAAAAAAAAAAAAAAAGCTCCATTGGAAAACGTAAGCGTAACCATTCCTAGCGATCATACATCAATGGAATGAAAAAAAATATATAATCCAAAGAGTAAAAGTAACAAAACTGTCATCAGTGTCTTTCTGTTTGATGATGGCGAGTCGTCGTTGCATCACAAATGTCTTTTGGGATGATCCAAAAAAAAAAATCTAAACAAAATATCAAAAAATGTAACCAGCTCTTAGAATTTGTAAAAAAAAAAAAAACGACCAAAAAAAAAGCACGACTCCACAGGAAAATAAGAGAACAAGAAAACGGTCATGACTTTTTGAGAAAATCTTGAACAACACTGTCCTGTCGCAAATTTTCTTTTTGAAACAGACTCGTCGTTCATAGTAAAACATGAAAACTATAAAACTGTTGCAAATTTCCATTTGCCTTTAATGACGAATGACGTCAAATATTATTCAAGCGCTGCTGCTTGCCAAACGTAACACACTTGCAACTTTCTTTGCCTTTTATGGTGGACAGATTTTTTTTTTTCTGTCAAAAACGTAAAATGGTCCAAACTTGTTGCGTCAATGACAGCCAAGGAGTCCATTTGGGATGCTCCACCCACCCCCACCCTCGCATCACCTTTGAGCACCCGGATTGACCCTCAACGCCCCCCCTCTCCCGTATCGCAGCCGTGCAGCGGCCTCACCCCACGCCCGGTCTTCTTCTTTCCACAGATGAGCTCACAGTGCCCGCTCTCTATCCCGGCAGCCCAGACGTGTGGGCCTCGTACCCGCTGTACCCGGCGGAGCTGTCGCCGGCCCTCCCACCCGCTTTCACCTACCCCTCCTCGCTCCACGCTCAGGTAACCACGGCGCACCCCCCCC